GTTAAGGAGTTATTGATACTTCAAATGCAAAATGATGATATAAAACCATGATAAAAATGCACTTTTAAGTACTAATCAAATATCATATTGGTGCTATTAGTCATAATATTGATGGATGTGTTGCATTCAAAAGAAAAATCCTCCAACTCATTAAAGTCGGGTGGATTTCTTTTGATGAATCTCCAAATATGAACTCAAACCCTCTGCTAAACCATGCCTCTAGTAATGGAGGAGTTAATAACTGGGAGATAAAAAGGGGAAGTAAAGCAATGATAAGGGTGACTATGGATAAATTGTATGGAATGTTGAGGCAAACTAGTTATCTGAAGACACTAGTTAGAATACAAATTATAGGAGATGAGATTCAATATTGTAAATATCATCAGCAATTTGGACATGATATTCATTTTTGTGAGGAGTTTCATTCTAAAATAGAAGATATGATGACATTCGGAACATGAAGATTAATGAGACTCGAAAAAAAAGAGTTAGTAGGAAAAATGAGTGGTTGTAACAAGAAAACAAAAGTTTGTAGATATTTACTAACTGAAGGGGGTCCACCAAAAATGATCCTAACCAGGCCTATAAAAACTATCAGTGGAAGATATAATGCCCAACCCTATAACTATGGTTATTCCTCTCACAACACGAGTCCTGTCCTTTTTTTTCCACATAGAAATAGAAGGACTCACTTGGAGTGGGAGATGTTTTACTCCTGAAGAGTTGGATGATAATAGAAAGGCTAAAGGAAAAAATATGGTGGAATTAGCAAAGATAAAAAAGGTCAATAAGTGATGAAAAGGCTAATGAATTTTTGAAATTGATGAGACATAGCAAATATAGTGTGCTTGATCAACTAAAAAAGGCATTCGCTAGGATTTCTTTGTTATCATTAATATTGAGTTCAAAATTGCATAAGAACTCACTTCAAAAGGTTCTTAATGAAGCATATGTTCCTTGGAATATCACACAAGACTCTATAGAATATTTGGTGGGTAGGATTTAAGCCACCAACTACCTCTATTTTACTGATGATGAGCTAGATTATGAAGGGACCGGTCATAATAAACCATTGCATATCATGGTAAAATGCAAGGATTGTGTTATTGCTAAAGTGCTTATAGATAATAGCTCTACTCTAAATGTATTACCAAGGTATGAACTTGATAAAATGCCAGTTGAGGCCTCTCACATGAAGCCAAGTACCAAGACTGATAAGGCATACAATAAGTCACCTACACAAATCATTAGGAGTATTAATATTGAACTGATTATTAGCCCACAACCATTCCAAGTCACATTACAAGTAATGAATATTCATTCATTATACAATATTTTACTAAGGAGACCTTGGATCCATGCAGCCCGAGCTGTCGCATCTTCTTTACATCAACGGGTCAAGTTCATCATCAATAGGAATTTGGTGACTGTGAAAGCTTAAGAAACTTTGTCAATGATGAGAAATGTATCGATCCTTTACATAGAAATTGAAGAAAGTAAGGATGAAAATATACATGCATTTGAAGTTGTAAATGTTGAATGGGTACCTAAAAATACAGTATGAAGTAAGCTAGAAATTTCTAAAGCAGCAAAAATGGTCGTTAAATACTTTTTGAAGCATGGATTGCCTTTTCAATATGATCTAACTACTGGAATGCATGAGAGGGTTAATGTGATAAAAATAAAGTACGCTAATCAGAGGTTTGGCTTAGGGTTTAAACCTGGAAAAGCAGATTTCAAAAAAGCAGCTGAAATTAGAAGCGAAAAGAGAGTAGCCCAGATTGAAAGGTTAGAGCCAAATAAAGATTGAATGGAGATCTCACTTATCCATGTAACATTTCTAACATCCGTGTATGTGATAAAAACTAAAGATTATGAGGAGTGACTAAGAAAAGAATTCAATGGTGCTACTATTAATTATCTTGAAAAAATCAATGAACAAGATTTAAAGGAAAAGGAAAGTCCTCACGAATAGCTACCCCAACTGACTAATGGCATTTTGGAAGATGGCTTATCAAAATTCGTAGGAAACTTGGTTGAGGGAGAAGAGCTGGAAAATTAGGAAATTCATGAAATCCCAATTGTTTTCAAAAAGTAATGTTTGTTTGCTTGTTCTTTGTTTTCATTATTGTATTGTTTGAACAATTGTGCCTTGCCAAATTATCATGGCTTAAGAGATAAGCAATAAGTTTTTGTTGTTGAGCCCTTTTATCCTTTAAATTTCGATCAGATTATGCATATTTTCTTTCAAACATGTTTTATTATTCTTCGTTTATTTATTTACTTTCCTAGAATTATACACTCACAACCGAAACACTTTCCGCTATCAAGAAATTTGAAAGTGGATTGTCGTTAAACTCACAAACTCATTGCACTGCGGATAATTGGCCTAACTTTGATGAAACTATAATTGTTATAGATGAGGAAGAGTTTGGTGAGGAAGACATTCATGAGTTCACAAAGTTAGTGAAACAATGAAATCGCACATGAAAGCCTGCAAAAGAAGAACTAGAATTGATAAATGTGGACATCAAACATAATAAAATAGAGTTGAAAATAAGGAAGTTAATCTCTGTTGGCACAAGAAATGAGTTAGTCACTCTTTTACAAAAATATGTTGATGTTTTTGCTTGGTCATATGCTGATATACCTAATCTGGATACTAATATTGTGGTACATAAATTGCTGTTGTTAGAAAGTTGTAAGCCGATTAAATAAGAGTTGAGGAGAACGAGACCTAATATACTAATCAAAGTGAAAGAAGATATAAAAAAATAATGGAAAGTTGGATGCTTAGAAGTAGTCAATTATTCTCAATTGGTGTCCAATATTGTAGTAGTACCTAAAAAAACAACAAAAACAGGGTATGTGTGGATTTTTGAGATTTGAATACAGCAAGCCCAAAGGATAATTTTTCCTTACCCTACATAGATGTACTTGTAGATAATGCTGCTAAGATTTCTACTTACTCTTTTATTGATGGTTTCTTTTAATATAATTAGATTAAGATGGCCGAGTAAAACAAGAAAAAAACAATATTTATTACCCCATGGGAAACGTATTGCTAGAGAGTTAGAACATTCAGATTAAAACATATTGGAATAACTTATCAAAAAGCAATGATAACACTATTTCATGATATAATGCATAAAGGAATTAAGATATATGTGGATGATATGATCGTTAAGTTTAAAGATGAGGAAAACTATATCCCAACTCTAAAGAAATTATTTGAAAAACTGAGAAAAAATCAATTAAAATTAAACCCTATAAAATACATATTTGAAGTGAAGTATGAAAAATTATTGGGTTTAGACCTTGACAAAATAAGTCATACAAGTTATATCAGCTTTTAAAACCAAGAAAGAAATTCGAAGTTTTTAAGAGATATTTAAACTATATTACTCAATTTATTTCACAATTTATTCATTTATAAACCAATCTTTCCATTGGTTCAAATGAAAAATCCTAGATTAGAGAGTGAAGGTTATTAAGAAACTTTTAATAAGATCAAGCCCTAGAAAGCTTCTCATTTTATATTTAATAGGGACACTGAAACATAAAAAACGACAAAAACTAAAGTAAACATATAATAATGAATTCAAAATTGTAACCAAGCACCGCTCATTGATTTTAATACCACCGAATTCATAGCTAGAAAATTTCCCTGATACTTTTCGATGTGGTGATAAAAAGCTAGAAATTTGAAATGCCAATGGCAACTTGCTTATTCTTTATCCGATAGCCCGGTATGGCTGGCTGCTCATGGGCCCGTTGCCTGTCCCGAAATTGTACATAAAGTCTAATGTGCTGATATTCTTTTCTGATTAGATAAGAAAGCGAGTGGCCCTACAACAATTCAATTCAATAATTTGATAGATCTTGATATTAATTTATTTCTTTGAAATTTTAATTATTGACTTATGGTGATGGGGAGTCTTTTTAGAGTTTTGGATTATTTATTAAGTTTATTTTATAATATTTTAAGGTTTTATATAATGTATAAATAAGTTTACAACGAAATAATTAGCGTTCTTTAGTTCTCCTATTTATACGAATAGAGATTAAATATTTTAGATATTTCTTCAATTATGAAGTTCTTGACCTTTTACTATTCAATCGAATATTTTAAATAGACTCATCAACGAATCAGGGACACCGAACGTATAGTAATACTTCGCCAATTAATTTAGATTTTAAGGTATATTTAGTTGTTATTATCGTCGCAGGGAATGCATATTCGTTATCAATTTCAATTCAGTATATTAATCTCCACAACAGCCATATGAAGATCTGAATAATACGGCATATTAGATAAAAAATAAAAAAGGTGAGAAATGTTAGATAACCATGAAAATAACATAAATAAAATAGTAGAATATTATTTTCATAACATATTGCATACCGCCAAAAGATACATGGATAACGACACACGATACTCATTAAAACAGAAAAAGACAAACGACACGAGACTGATTGTGGAGACCCATCTATAGAGGCAAACACCTATTTTATTATGATCATGGTGCAACCCGATGGATGATGCTCGATCTTGCTCACCTCACTTGATGCTGCGTCAGAAGAGAAAGACGTTAGAGAGTACTCTCGAAGCAGGAAAAGTAATTTGCAAATTCATTGGGCACTGATCTATAACAATTTTTTTGTTTAATATACAGGATTAAATACATGAAACGAAGAATAAGATAGATGAAGTTATAAAGTGCGAACCTGGCGCAGTTAGTGGATGTGCTGATCTTGTACGGAATATTAACATGGCAGAGACCAGGGAGAGCAGCTGCGTAGTTAGAATTAACCCCACCAAGTTGAGCGGCGGTTGTTTTAATGCAATTACAAGCATCTCGGCGATCTTGAGTGGTTTTAGCAGCATTGTTGAGAGCCTCAACTCCTTTGCAGCAAACGGCAGGAACTTTCCCGCCATTTCTCAGGTAGCCAAGGCACTGTGCCAAGTTACCGGCCACAACACCGCATGACAAGGCTTCAACGTTCAACATGGGGGCGGAGAGCACCATGCACAGCAAGAGAACACAGACAGTCTTGGCACCAGCCATGTTTGATAGGATGGGGAAGGCTAAAAGAACTTTTTTTTTCCTTGAGTATTTGAGAGAGAAGGAGAAGATCTCGAGTGAATGTGATGGTAGAAGGATAGCAGGAGTGGTGTTTATATAGAAGAAGCTGGGATGAAACTAAGAAAATGAATTCGAGTTGGTTTGTTGTTGGCCTCATTTAATGACGCAGGATGGAAATTCACCTTGTATATTGAAATTAATTAATTAAGAACTTAAATGAGGTACAGGGAAAGAAGAAGTTCGAGAGAGAGAGAAACAAACATGCCATGGCACTTAAAATTAATTAAGTCAAAGGTTTCTTTAACTACTTGTTATCAATAACAGGAGTCTGTTTGGGATGGTGTGGTTATAGTTTTATGATAGAAATAATGGATAAAGTGAAGATAGAAATATGTTTAGTAATAAAGGCAGAGACAAAGATAAAAATATAAAAAAATATATCTTTATAATAATTTTTAAGTAAATTTATGTATTTTTAAAATAAAATGTATAAAAGTAATATATCGACAAATACAATATTAACATATCGTTATAAAAAATCTTAATTATAAAATTATAAAATTAAAACATGTAAGGATAAAAATAAATATTATTATAATTTTAAAATTTAATTTATAATTAATCTGCGGTAAAGTCCAAATCACTGGTAGTGTTTTAATTCATGATTAATTTGCGGTAAAGTCCAAATCACTGGTAGTGTTGACCATTGATATAGATCAATATAAAAAAAAAATACCTAATTTAAGGATCAAGTCGAGATAAGGTCCAAGTTATAAGTAAAAAAAAATCAACTTAAGTCAACCTAAGTCGATATAAAATAAAAGTGGTTATTATAATAGTTTTAAAACTTGATTCGGAAGTCAATCCGAAACAATATCCTAATCATAAATTAGGAGGGTCAACTTGGGTTGACCCATGCCAATATAGAAATAAAAATAGTTATTATCATAATTTTAAAATCCGACTCAAAAGTCGACTCAAAATAAGGTTCATGTCACAAGTCGAGAAGGTCAATACTAATAGACACGAGCTAATGTGTAGATAAAAGTAGTTATTTTAATATTTTTAAAACTCGACTCGAAAATTGATCTAAGACAAGATTTGGATCGTGGGTCGAGAGGGTCAATGCGGTTGACCCAAGATTTTTTTAAAAAAAACTCAACTGATTTTTGACTTATATTTTATTCTAGGTTGACTTTGATTTTTGATCGAATCAGTTCAAGTCAATTCTTTCTCAATTGTTTCTTAAACTTGGACCAGTTTGGGCTCCAAATTAACACGTAAAGTCAATCCTTTTTTCATAACAAAAATTATTATAATATTATTAAGTTTAATACTATATATAAATTAAAAAAAATAAAATATCAAATTATTTTTTCAATATATAAGTTTAATAATAATATATATTAAGAATAAAATATTTCTTACATCGTAATAAAAAAAAGATACGAAAACAATCACATTTTATATGTTATTATCAAACATAATTTTATTTCAATCTCATTTCTTATTCTTTATTTTATATGTTATTATTAAATATAATTTTATTTCAATCTCATTTCTTATTTTGTCCCCTTTTATTTTTATTATATTTATCTTTTTTGTCTTAATAATCAAACTCTAAGTGATAATTTTTTTAAAAAATAGTAATTGTTTAGTCAATCGTGAAATATAATAATTAAAAAAATCAATTAATTTTATTTAAAAAGTGTTTTACTGAGGTTATATTGGGTTTTATGCTCATTCACATCTATTCAAAAATATTTATTAGCAACTCCCTAGAAGATAAATAATTGTGGTATTTGGGATGTAGATGATAAAGCTAACGGGTGACCAAATAACACCCATTAATGAACATTAAATGGAACTGGCTAAGTTTTTTGCCTCGCGCTACTGGGTCGTATTATTATTATCTTTAACCTACAGGAAATATAAAGATGCTAGAAACTCAAAATTTTGATTCATCCAAGCCAAGAAAAACTTTCTAAATACTTAAAGAGTGATATAGTGTATAATATATTTAGAAAAAAAACAAACACTGAGATGGTGGCACCCTTAATCGACTCAGTCTAATTATAATTACTTTACAAAACTCACAATGTAAATATAAGATTGTGATAAAACCATAAAATCTATATCAAAATAAAATAAAATGTCCAATTATAATTGGCTAAAAAAAATATTGAAGGTTAAAAATGTAAAAAAAATAATTTAAACAAAATTTGAGTAAATCTATATTAATAGCTTGCACAAAGCAATGAGATGGGTCAAATTTTTCTAATTACAAGAAGATAAAAATTAAGGCTACTCTAGGATTTTCAAATAAATAAATAAAATTTAAAATTTAAATCATTAAGTTAATTAGGTTTACTAAGTCTACTTAACTGGGATAATACACACATACGCACATGTATTTTAAATTAAGGTTATTTTTATAAAATTATAATCTGTAAAATTTTAAACACAAATTCAATTAAAAAATTTAATTTTTAATTAATTTTATTTTGAAAGATAAAATTAAGAAAAGAAATTGCAATAAAAGTAACAGAGATCACATATGAAAAAAAAAAGAACAAGGATGAAATTCTAAAAATAAATAAAATTTATAAATCATCTAAATTTTTTAAAAATAAAAATAAAAACTAAATTTAAAAGATAAAAAACTAAAAAAGGATAATATTTAAAAAATTCCCATACGAAGTGATTTTCTTAAATAAAACAATTGCTTTTGAAATAATAAGAAATTGAAAGGCTGCTGTGATGTGATTTTTTTCACGGGTAGCGTGCAAATCAAAGTAAAGAGGAGAGAAACAAGGGGGGGGATAGAAAATTGAATTGCGCCAAACCGGGCAGATTCACCATATACACGCCGTCCAAGTGGGAAGAGACTGTTAAGACACATTAAATAACACACCAGAACATACCTTTCCACCAATAGAGTCAGCCGCCCTCGTCGCATCTGGCACGTGCCACATATATGTCAGCAGTGTTTTTTTATTTTATTTTATATATCAAAAGATAACATTACACTACACTGGGACTAAATTGTGATTGTCAGACAAAACATAATGAAATGACGAGACAATCTCTTAAACATGCTTTTGAGAATTTTGATTCTAAGGGGGATCGTGTCATTACACTGTGTAATGAAAAGTAAAAATTCGAGAATGCCCTTGGCCATAATTAAGTGATTTTTTTGCTTTTAAACGTATTAAAGTAACTTTATTGTTTAAAAATTTAGAAAAGAAGTTAGATACCCCTAGATAATTCTATAATCACAAGTGAATCATGTAAAAATACAATTATATACTGCAAGTCAATTCAATGATATTTTTTAAGGGTAATAATATAAATCCACTGTTATAGTCCATAGTTATTTAACTGTGTTTTTAAAAAATTTAAAATATCTTTATATGTTTTGAATCATTTTATATATTAATTATTAAAAATATAAAAATATTATTTTAATATATTTTAATATGAAATTTTAAAAAGTAACTCTTACCTATATAGTGTGTGTTTATAGTGCGTGTTTAGGTTTTTTTAATTATTATCCATTGATGAGGAAAAAATTGTCTTGATCCAAGCTTTTTTTTTTTAAGATTTTTTTCCTTTTTAGTTTCTACCTGTTTTTGGATAAAAAATAAATTGAAAGTCATTATTTTTTATACTTTTCAACCTGCTTTTTAATAATAAAAGAAGGGATAATACTAAAAATGAGGCAAAGTTTTCGTAAGAAGATGCCAATTAAGTTAGCCTAGATCCTTAGATGGCAGGAGAGAAACAAGATCACATGAAAATCCCAAAATTGCAAAATAATTATAAGCTACCCATGCATATGTCCCACCTTGCACAAGTTTATATATGTGATAGATGTAAATCAGAAGGCAGTGCCATCACTTTTTATTTGAACACAGAAGCAAGAAGCAAGCAATATAAATCAAGTGCTTGTTTTTTTCTTTTTACATCTTAAAAATATTTTTTAAAAATTTAAAATATTATTTTTTTAAATTAATATTTTCAGTTGTGATGGGAAACATAATTCTTTAAAAATAAAAATTATTGTTTTAATATATTTTAAAAAATATTTGTAAAAACAATAATTATTACAATCCTCCGAACACCCTTATCTCTGTATCAAGCAATTATTTTCATCGGATAGAACACCTAACTCCTAGCAGGCAACCGCTTAACACATGGAGCATGGCATTGTCAACCATGGTTTCAAGCGACTAGCAATGAAGGCAAGCAAATTCGATTCACCAAGTAGCTGACATGCCACAGTACAGCCATGAAAATGGAGGCAAAGTTACGTCCCAGGCTCTGCTTCTTGGTGCCGCATTCATGAGTTTTGGACCCTTTTGTCAACTGCGGGTCGGTGCGTTACTGGCCGCTCTTTTTAAATTATTTTTTATCTACATTTAATATTTTCTCAGATATTTCTACCTCTTAAAATGTTTTTTAAATACTTTTTAAATAATGCTAGTACCAAATAAGAAGAAGTATACAAAAGATATTATTTTAATTAAGAATTATTGTTGAGAAGTATAATGGGCATCACCAAATATACTCGTCTTCATTAATGGCCTTCGAGACTTCGAAATCTGTGCCAATAGAAATGGGACACGGCAGCCGATGCGACAGTGTAACCCAACAATAAAGGTTTGTGCGTGCGTCCATGGTTGGCAGCGTGGGTCAAATGCCTCGAGTCAGATAGGGAGGCACCTGCCAGCCGATAGCAATTAATCACCAGGCGGCACCGATTTTGACAATCGTAGCTCTACATTTTATGTGGTGAAGTTATTTTTTATTTTAAAAATATATCAAAATAAATTATTTTATATTTTACAACATCACCTCATAATTACTAAAAAATATTAATTTCATGTTTTTTCTGTTCTTAAAAAAACCTCAAAAACAAATTTAAAAGCCTCTCATTAACATAACTTGATGCTTTTCTTTAACACATCCACCTCTCTGTTATTTTCATCTTAAATCCTCATAAACAAAGAACAATTTTTTTTTAAAAAATCAAATACAAAAACTCTAACAGTGTCGGCGATGAAATCAAATGAAGAT